TTGGCCGTTTCCTCACCCCTGGATTGGGTACAGCACACACGCGACAGAAACAAATGGACTGTGTAGCTAACCTCTTCTTGTAAAGAATTGCCTGTGTTTTAGAAGGATTCACAGGGAATCAAAACCATTCCAGTTGTTCACAGGTTTTAGGTGATACACTTACGACGTGATGATTTATGTACGTACACATACATACCTATATATACACATACATATATTTAAAAAAAAAACTATTTTTATACAGAGATCGCTGCTTAAGTAAGGAACTTTTGCCCCCCTATGGAAGCATCTCTTCTTAAAAATCACAGGGAGGAATATATAACATAATTGAGCTCTTCAAGTGACCAAGACAGAATTACCGATGCAGAGCAAAACTCCTGTAGTGCCTTGTCCTGCTGACGATGGTCAGTCCATCTTCTGGAGATGCATTTCCTCCTTTCCCAGGCCCACGGATCTTGCTCCTGGGACTCACTGCCTGGGTCGGTAGATTTTAGGACGTGGTTGTGGAGAGCGGCTTAGCTGGAGAACTCACCTACCACATGTCCAAATGCCGCTGTTCTGCTGACCGTGGGAGGAAAAGGCAGACAACGGGAGCGAGCTGTGCCTCTGGAGGAGCCACGCATCTGGGAGGAGGAGTGCAGGAGTCCGTAGGCTGGGGCAGAAGGTGCAGGCAGCTGTCTGAAGGCTGGAAAGCTTCGGTGTTTCCAGCATTCAAGCTGGTTTCAATTTAAAATGTCTTTGTCTTCAAGATTTTCTGCTTAACCATTACGACAAGCAACCCATTTGTATGTAATTTTGTGAACGACAGCTAATATGCCCACATAAGCCTTGGGGTGCAAAAACTGGGTCTGTAAGATAAACGCCAAGAAATCTCCAAAAAAGTTTGAGGAATTGGCTTCCATTCCTGTGCAAAGAACAGGTCAAACCCCCCTCCTATAGCACGGCGGACACGCAGTGTGTTTTAGCGAGCCAGGGTTAAGCTTGGCCAATCGATCAGCCCCAATGGATCTATCTGTCACGAGGATTTCAGCACCGACCCTCCCGCCGCTCCACCTGCCCCTCTGTTAGAAATTACTGCCTTCAGGAAGGGCGGCAGAGGCAGATGTGTGCCTGAGCCGACAGTCAGGCACTCGAGCTGCGGCAGAGTGGGAGCTGAAAGTAATGCCTTGGCCTCTGAACCGGCTGGCTGAGGGCAGGCACAGGTTTGCTTCTGTCACGCCTGCTGTGGCAGCGGTTGAACTCCAGCAGAGCTGCTGGAAGGTGAGCAGGGGGGAGTCCTACGGCTGGAAGTGAGCTCTCTTTTTGGCGCTGAGCAGCCATGCCTTTAGCTCCAGTCCTGCTGTGAAACCATAGCCCTGGCCAGTCTCGGAGCTCACCTCTCCCTCTGGCCGGGAGGGACTGGTGGCTATCAAGGGCGTTGACTGACTGGCACTTAGGATGACATTCGGCTTGCCAATTCCAGCAGGACTGATAAGGCCGCTTGTTTATTCACAGCTAAATCCACAAAAGGACTTACGTGAATCAACATTCCTGCACCTGTACGCTCCCTGCTGCCTGCTGGGCTCTTTCACGGCACGTTAACGGGTGCAGCCCCCTTCCAGTCTCAGGAGCAGGTCCAGAGGAGAGGTGCGAAGCCAATGCGTTGCGGGCTGCTCAGCAGAAAACCTGCAGCAGGCAGGGTGGGAACATCTTTACCACAGAATAGCCTCTGGCCTCCTGCTTAGGACGGGGCTTTGAAACTTCTCAAGGGAAGGAAATTGAAAGTGGGTCTCCCACATCCTGGGAGTGTGCTGTGGCCACCACGCTGCTGGGTTAAGATGGGCACTACCGCTTTCTGCAGGTTTCTACCTCAGGAGACGGTAGAAACCTTTGCTGCCCTTGTGATAAGCCCTTCGCGGGAGGATGCTACCAGCAGGAGCTTCCAGAGCACAAAGTAGAGGACCGGTTCAGGTCTGAACACGGTTGGATCTTTGCTTTCAACGCCTGATGAGAGAGTGGGGTCTTCCTGGGCACGCACAGCACAATCACCAGGGCTGGGTGGTATGGACAGGGGAGCTAAGAGGGAGCGTCAGGTAAAATCCTATGAATTGAGATTCCAGTAGGATTAGGAGGCAGCTGCCTCCTGCGCAGGAGTTTTCAGGAACATGATTTTGGACTTACGTGCCTAAATTTTCTGCTTAGGATGCAAAAGCTCTTTCCGAGTCAGCTCACACAAGCTAAATATCCAAGGCAGCTGGTGCACTGGGGGAAATAATCTGGGTAAATCTCAACGAGGGCACATGCTCAGCTGCCTGAGCCCTGATCTCAGCACCAGATATGTGCTAGGCTGCCTCTGAGAGCAGTTGTTAACCTCCCAATAAAGATGAAAACGTGCACCTCGTTTCCTGGCGCCACCCGCAGAAGCTCCTACTTCCACACTTCCACCACTGCAAGCCCGCAGCAGCGGATCATAAACAGTTCCACGTGTCGGGGAAACAGAAAACGTAAGTAACAGAAAACACGCCCTGTTTGTTTTGGAGTTGACTGATGAACACAATGACCATGTGATAATTCCCACCATGTGTCAACTACTTAAGTTTCACCTCTCTCTCCCAGCGTTCTCTGAATGTCGTCTTGCTTCTGTGCTCTGCTGCTAAGAAGCAGCAGCGTGTAAAGCTGCTTCCCAGGGAAATGCCGGTTTCCTCCGCCAGCTCTGGTTTCCTACGTGCAGGCAGGTGTGGAGGGGAGGGCGGAAACGACGAAGGAGGGAGGGAGGGCTGCCAGAGGAGATTCCCACAATATGGGGGGAAGGCCATGGACGTGCTCGAGGACCTCAGCTTTTGCTAGCTTTTATCTATTGCATCTGGAAACTTAGTGCTCCTGGAAATACTACTGTTCTCGTTCCATAGGAAGGAGAACAGAAACACTAAGAAAGTGTTGGAAGTCGTCGCCGAGATCTCTTTTTACATATTTATTGCTTCCTCGAAGTCCTGAGACCCCAGAGAGGACACTTTTCCTTGTCTGCTTATTTTTCTCTAGTAACTCTTGGCTTAGAAAGGCTGTCGTGCATGTATTTTGGCGGCGCTAATCCTCCTTCGCATTGCCACTGTTCTGAGATGGTTGTGTGTACTGAGGTGCTGAGTGGCTCCTAATCCCATGGACGATGATGGAAGCGCTAATTGGTGAAAACGGATCTCGAGTATCTCAAAATAAGCGTCCGTGACCGAAAGCTAGTGTGTGTGCTCGTGAGTGTGGGCCGCTAACTCTTTTTTTCATGGGAACCTTGTATATAAAAAGAAGAAATAATATTTGCCTGCATCCCAGCAGGTTTCCCTGCTTTGAGATCAATGTTTTAAAGTTACTTGGAGACTTTGCAGAAAGCTTCTCCTTGAAAGCAAAGTAAAAGGCACCTTTTAAGGCAGGTGAATGGAGAGCTGCAGTCAAAATTAGAGCTCTGCAGTTCCCAGCCATGTAAATACTTGCGATAGTTCAAATACTTTCCTCTTCCCATCTGGGTGAAATCCTAGCTTCAAAGCTTTGGGGTTTTTTAGCGCTAAACAAGAGATCCAAAAGCAGCCTCCTGGTCAGAGCCTTTTCACGGGCGGCAAGTTCTTGCTCCGCTCCGCTTATTTCTAAACGCAGAGTTGAACCCGGACTCTCTCGTGCCGGGGAGGTGCCTGGACACCAGACTCCTGGCCGCTCAGGAAGACGTGTCCCTTGTTTCCCACTCCGTCAAACTCCTCCCGATGCGCCTTTTGCTGTAGGTGGGTACCACCTTCAGGGAATACTTTGGTTTTATTGAACGGCTGCTTTGTCCGATTTCCCAAGCAGTTCTAGTTGCGAACGCAGCCCGAAACGGGGGAAAAAAAAAATCTTTTAACAAGTCTTTGATTTTTTTTTTTTTTTTTTAAACTGGAAATTCCATTTTTCTTGATGTAACTTGCTTTCTGCCTGGTACTGTTCCATGAAAAGTTTTGCTCTTCATATGTCAACAGTTTCTAACAAAAGAAATCATTTCATTAGAAAAAACCCTGATCAAGCTGTAATTGGCACGCAGCATCCCAGAGCACTTCTGTACAAAAAGAGAGAATGCATATTGCTATGCTCTACTCCTTATGATCCTCAACTCTAATTAAAGATGCCTTGCCATCTGTGAAACAGTTGCAGCAAGAAATGTGAAGGCAACTCCAGTTACAGTATAATCATTTCTAGCCTAAATGTTCTTTTAATGCTTGCTCTTTGGTCTCCAGATAATTTGGGATAAAATACTTGGTGCAAACACTTTTTGGGCACGGACATTTCTGAAATGTCTGGATTACTTGTCTGTGTTATTCAGGAAGTCAGATTAGATGATCACAGTGCTGCCTTCTGGTCATAGGCCCTATTTAACATTTACCCTTTCCCTTACCCTTTTCCTTTAACCCTTTCAGAGCGTGAAATGCAGGCTTGACACTGTGCAAGAGCTATGTGTGGAGCATCTCTTTGTCCTCTCCCTTTTTTTGTGTAGATTTTCAGCTACCACTTTCCAGAAACTCTCTGGGATAACAACATGTGTAGTGGAGGTCTACCATCCCAAGAGAGTATGCTCAGCTACAACAGGTCTGAATTCACAGTGTTCTCAACTCTTTCAGAGAAAAGACCTATAGAACTGATAGAAATGGTAAAGCAAGTTGGTTAGATATTGCTAAGGTGCTACAGTTTTTTGGTTTAAAAAAAACCAACAAAAACAAACCCCCAAAAAACAAAAGAAAAACCAAGCAAACAAACAAAAAACAAACCAAGATTTAATAGGGACTCTACCTTCCGAGAGAGATTTGTTAGAGGAAAAATTTCCTCTTTCATTTCGGGCCCTAGGGGGAGGCCGTGGCTGCGGTGATGACTTTCTTAGGACACCTTTGGATTTAACTGTGAAAAGAAAGCGTATTTTCTGAGCAGCTCCTTCAGTTCGCTGTCGGCCGTGAGGTAAACAGTCCGGGTCGTGCGTTTCTGTGTTGGAAGCTTAACGTGGGTTTTCTTTTTTTTTTTTAATGGCTTTTTTTGCAGCTGAGCTCCAAAAATGGTGCGCTACTCTCTGGATCCGGAGAACCCCACGAAATGTGAGTCGTTTTTTTCCCGGTGGACGTTCGCGTCGGACTTCAGCGAAGCCACTGAGGTGTTAATTCCAAAAGTTGGTCTTTTTTCTTGGCAGCATGCAAGTCACGGGGATCCAACCTGCGAGTGCATTTCAAGGTACGCGGCGTGCCTGCGTAGTAGAAACGCAAACTCATTTGTTTGGGGTTTTTTTTTGTTTGTTAGCTTTTTTTTTGGGGGGGGTGGAAGGAAGTATCTCTTGCTCTCCTGTATCATTACATAGTTAGTGAAGGGTGGTAGCGTAGGTTATGGCCTGCGCTTGCTTTAGCCGCTTGTGATGGCTTTTATCCCCAGGACCAAACGCGAGATCCTGTGTCCTAACGAGCTGCTGTCTGACACAGGCGGTAAAACGCAGGAGGAAAACGGTCGCGGTGAATTTAGGGGGAGGAATTGGGCTAAGCGTTCAGGGGAGAGGTGCGTTTCCTTCGTCTTGCTCTGCCTTTCTGGTTGCTCGGAAGGAACGCGGGGTTCGTCTGATCAGGCTGCCGGTGGAGAAGCGTGGCAGGGGAGGGCTGCCGCTGGGAACGTGGGGTTCTCTGGAAAAAGGTGTAGGTGCGGCGGTGAACTGGGGACTCACCCGGGTTCACCACAGAACCCGGGCTGAGCGGGTGCTCGGCGGTGGGTAGGGCAGGTGAAAAGAGGTTGCCGTGAATTTTGGTTTGCCCTTTTGTTGTGATGGGGTAGGGTTGTAGTTACGCTCCGACTCTTGCGGTTTTTATGCTGCCTTAAGCACCCATACTTTACTCCCGATTTTTCTTGAGGGAAAAAAGGCTGGTGAGGCGTCTGGAGAACAAGTCTGCTGAGGAGCGGCTGAGGGAGCTGGGGTTGTTTAGCCTGGAGAAAAGGAGGCTGAGGGGAGACCTCATTGCTCTCTACAACTCCCTGAAAGGAGGCTGTAGCGAGGTGGGGGTCGGTCTCTTCTCCCAAGTAACTGGCGA